CTTGAAAATACTGTAAAAATCCAACCTATAATTGTACGAAGCTGTAAATCAGTCTTCATCAATGTTTTTGTTCAGATGGAATGAGATCGTATGTTTGAAATGCAATGCAATGCGAAGTTTAAGAAAAAAATCAAGCTCAATATTCACATCATAGATTTCCAAACATTTAAATATTGATACAAAAGTAATTCACCTATTTTAAAAAAAATCCGTACAAAAAAAAAAGCATCCACATACATACACACCTTCAGGTTAACGATATTTCATAATTTCAATTATACAAATAGTACAAATTTTTTTTTTTTATTGAAATATGAACCATTTTGAAAAAAATTTTTTCACTATTTTCATTATGAAATCTTAATGCGAGAAATTAAATATTTTTCACTTAAATCTTAAAAAAAAAAAAAAAAGAAAAGAAAACCGATCAATACACATAAATATTATTTATAAAGACCTTAGTTCTAAACTTTTATTTTCGCGCGCTTTTATTTATGCTGCCCGAAATAAAATGTATAGTTTTCAAGGTCTGTTTTTCTTTTTCAAAACCTAATTCTCATTGATAACTTTCTATAAATTCCATGAATTTAAGTCATGCCATTCCGTTAAAAAAACATCTCCATGTTTGAGTGGATTCTTTGGCGGTTCAACTTCATTAGAAATTGGCGGAATCCTCTCTAAATATTGAATTGGATCGATAAATGATGTTTGTATCGGTGATTGTGGCATCTGTTGGTACTTTTGGTTTGGCATAAAAATTAGGTTCAATCAATCAATCAATCAATCAATCAATCTGAAGAACAAAAAAAATAGTTACCTCAAACCCATACGAAGAAGGAAATGGAACCGGATATTGAATTCGTTGTTCAACAATTGGATCAACAATTGGTTCTTCTATTCCTCCAAATTCTTCTATTCGTTGTGACTCACGGATACCATCAAATGAGATTAATTGTTCATAAGGCAATGTTCCTGCTATTGATGTCCTTCTTCGTTTACGAGTTTCTTCTTTGGATGCTTCATTTAATAGCGGCAATTCTATGTTTGTTTGTTCCCTCCGTTTATAATGTCTTTCTTTATGAACTTCTTCCATAGACTCACTTTGCGGTGTTAAAGGAAACTCTTCAATAGACTCTTCCGGAGACGTTATGGGTGACTCTTCATGAAATTCTTTTATAATTTCGTCATATGGCGTTATAGGTTGTAAATTTATTTCTAATGATTTGGTATCTGAATTGTCTTTCGGTAAATCGTGTGTTGCTATTTCGTTTGATTCATTCTTTGAAGGTTTTCTTTCGACGGGCATCGGATATAGTGATCCTCTTTGATGCACACGCGGAACTCTTGCTCTAACCATTTCTTATTTAATTTTTCTGTTTGAAACGCGATAAATTAAATATTTGATTCTTAATTATTATATAAATTAGTTTCGATTTATGTTCTTGCTTATTTTTACTTGAGAATTCAAAATTTTTTTATTGAAAGAGTTTTTAAGAGAATTAAGAACTAATTACTGTGCACTAACTACTAGAATTATCCTTTAAACGGACTTGTAAGACCCGTTGGTCATCACAAATTATTTGTACCATTCGATTATGCAGATAACATCGGAGATTTCTCGCCGCAACAATGACAGTTTCAAGAGAGGCTTGCATAATATTATTTAAAAAGCATGTACGAGCCACAATACTAATTTTGGTTCTTACGTTAAACAATCCTTGTATTCAAAATTCCTTTTATGAAATAAATTAATTATAAAAATGATTTTTGTACCATCTTCTTAAATTGAGCCTTGAAATATGAGTTATCTTGAATAAAAATAATATCGTAAAAAAAAAAAAAAAAAAAAAAAATGGAATATCGATATTTGGGGGATAGTGGCCTCAAAGTATCGGTTCTTTCTCTTGGTGGTTGGGTTAACTTTGGGGGTAGAGTTTCTACAGGTGAACAAATAAACATATATATTATCATTACGTAATTTTATATCCTCAATAAACTAATTATGAATATTCCTAATTTTTCCGTCACATCCTATACCCTTCAAAACCTCTTATTAAAGATGTTACTCAAAAATGTATGCAAATAGCATTTGACAATGGTATCAATTATTTCGATACTGCTGAAGTTTATTCAGGTGGAAAATCCGAAATTGATATGGGATTCGCAATAAAAAGGTTAGGCTGGAGTAGATCTGGTTTCGTAATATCTACAAAAATATTCTGGGGTGGTAAAGGTCCAAATGATCGTGGATTATCAAGAAAACATATTGTAGAAGGGTTAAGTGCTTCTTTACAAAGATTAGGATTAGAGTATGTTGATATTGTATACGCGCATAGACCAGACCCTGATACTGTACGTTTATTATTATTTTTATTTTTATTTGTTTTTTTTTATCTTTATTTTTTGTGAAATTGCTTTCGATTTTCAAAATTTCAATCATTTATTAATTATTAAAGCCAATGACGGAAATAGTTCGCGCATTTAATTTTGTAATTGATCAAGGAAAAGCATTCTATTGGGGAACTTCTGAATGGCCTGCCCATCTTATTGTAGAAGCTCATTGTGTAGCTAACAAACTCGGACTTATTCCTCCACTGGTATTTTTTTTCAATACTCCTCTTTTCAGTTAGTACATTGTACCGAATAAAGTAATTGGTTAAATTTTTCATGTTTTATTAATATATTCTTACAAAGGCCGAACAAGTAAGCAATTGATTATTTTTTTTTATGAAATCGTTTTATTTATTTTATTTATTTATTTATGTTTTCAGGTACAATATAATTTGTTCCATAGAGAACGTGTAGAAAAAGAGTATGTCCCTTTATTTAATAATTATAAGATGGGTGCTGCAGTCTGGTCACCTCTTGCTGGTGGTGTCCTTACCGGAAAACATAATGATCATATAGATAAAGATTCTCGCTTTGCATTAGAAGATAACACACAAATGCAAATGTTAAAAGATGGTTTGTTAAGTCCAGAAGGTCAACTTAAAATTGAAAAAGTTAAAAGACTAATGGTAAATTTTTCATCTTGTTTCTTTTTCTTTCGTTTATAAATTATTTGATGTGTTTTAAATTTTTTTATGTAAGCCCGTTGCAGAGCGGATTCATGTTACTCCTGCCCAACTCGCACTTGCATGGTAAAATTAGTTTTTATCAAGAATATTTTTTCCCTTTGATCGATTAGCAATTTCTAATTATTCATTTGGTTTTAAATTAGGTGTATGAAACAACCTAATGTTGATACTGTGATTACTGGTGTATCTAAACCTGAACAAATGATAGAAAATCTCGAAGCCGTAAATTTGATCTCAAAATTAACACCGGAAATCTTAAAAGAAATTGATGACATAATGGATAATAGACCACAACTTCAATTTAGTTTCAGGGATTGTTGAAGAAAACTATCTCTTTAGTCTGCATATTTCCACATGCTGCCTATATATGTACGTACGTACTTAATGTTTTTAAGAAAATTTGCTTTCTTATATAAGTGATAATTTGATGAATCGTGGTCTTAAATTTTTAGGCAATTATATATATATTATATATTTATTTATTTACATCTAAAATTTGCATGAAAAACATTGTAGCATAACTATTTTTTACGCATTATAACAATTTAATTCTGTACTAATAATTTTTTCAATGTTAGAATTTCTGTTAGTATAATATTAAAGAAATAAATAATTTGTTTTTTTTTAGTACCATAAATGCGACTGATATATTATTACGGTTGTTATTAGTGAAAAAATACTCTAGGACTGTGTACTAGTTATATATCAGAAAAGCCTATTACTTATATCTCATCTTGGGGTATATCCTATCGGTTTAATTACAAACATAGGCAGATGACATATTGATAAAGATAAAATTTGGGATTTACTTCGCCTTTAATTTCTTCCGCAATATTTAACATTTTAAAATTCTAAAGTAATAACGTTAGAATTTTATCACTAATTTAATATGTCACGGCTTACCCGAGTGTCTGCTATCATACGATTTACAAACACAATACGGGCCACATAGTAAGTCATTGTCCGAGTTTTATATTAATAACCTTTGAACTAATAAACATGTACAAATAAAATTATACTTCAAATTATACTTGCCGAAGTTCTCTTAATGAGCTCTTTAAATTTCATACGTATGAAAACCTGGCCAACGAATTACTATGTGACCGAGCATAGCCGGCTTTCATTGTGATTGGCTGATTTTTGAATACCATCTCGTGACATCGAAAAATTTTATTGGCTAATCTAACTATATACTATTAGAACATAAAAACCTTACTGCAGTTTATTACTGTATAAAAAGAAATATATACATAGGTGTGAACAAGAATAATAATCAATCCGAGTTCATAAAAAAACCCCCACAAAAAACAACAAATGAAAATATTAAAAGGAAATTAACGTAAAGAAAAATGCGGTGGAGCGCAGCTTGTTTGAGATCAATGTATACATGATTTAGGTCAGTAAGAATAATGTCATGTAAAGACATTTCCGTGGCTTCATATGCAGCAGGAGTAAAAGTCATTTCCCAGCGAGAACGTTTAAAATTATACCTAATTTTTTTGAGAAACTTGCTACTACACCGATAGTAAATCTATTGCGTGTGCTTAGTACTCCTTTCAGCTCGTCAATGGTCGGACGACCTATAAAAAAAAAATATTTTTTAAATCCAGATGAATTATTTCACAAATAATTATGTCACTGCGTGTGAAACTATATTATTTACCTATTTGCTGGGTGGTCCAGTATTTACATTGTATGATAAAAGGCATACAGTATATATAGCCGACAACGTCCATACCGCCATCAAACGGGTTCCTAAATAATACAGCAGCAAATATAAGTAATGTGTCATCATTGTACAACTATAGAAGAACGTTCACGTCCAAGACATGGTACGATGAGCTTTCAATTCGATAGTTTGTATATTCTCACCCTCTCACTCGACAATTTACGCCTCGACTCCTAAGATATTTTGCAATGCTGTATTCCAGACATTTTCCTTTATCTGAAGTTGACATATAATAATCATCTTCTTCAATGATAAAATCGCCTACAATGTATCGTATATATGGCATTTTGATAAATTCTATCAAAACGATTAGTGCTTGATTTCAGTATTTATACAATTGCCAAACGCGTAAATAAATCTGTACGCGTTCGTGAGTTTAGGGTGAACGGCAGGCAAAATTTTTGGCATGCCCTCTGATTTAAGGGGGATGCCCCATAGGCATGCCCCCAAAATTTTTTGTAAGATGCTTTGAAAAAAAGCATGCTCCTATATGCTGTGCCCCTGAGTTCCGTAATAATTAACCAATCCAAATATACAATCTTTTAAAGATGATTTATCGTTTTTTAATACAATAATATTGAAAGTAGGGGAATTTTCCGGCATGATTACGTAATCAATGACGATACCCTAAATTGTTTTTAGTATACAATCTATCGTGTCGTTTAAAATAGCGGAAATTACCAGGATGTCTGGATTTTGTGGTATAACCTTCTTGCATTATATCATGTTTAGTGTCGGCAAATAGAACAATAGAACAAAACTTAATTTTTTATCTTTATATAAAATTTTTTTTATTAATAATTTATAATTATTTAAATATATATTGCTAGAGCATTAGTAAAATAACAAATTTAAAATATTTTTATTTTAATTAATAAAGTTTAATATCAAAAATTTACAATAGATAAACAAAAAAGTGAATAAATTATATGCCAATAGAAAAAAAAATATAGAAAATACCTCTAATAATATTGTCTCAATTAATTCTATATCTTTATATTATATTTTCATCAAACAGCATATATTAATTCTACGCAAATCATAAGTATTGTTTATTTGCCTTTACACATAAGGTGAAGTAGGGTATTCTGGCGCGGGAGGTAATGTGGCGCACTGGAGTTTTTTTAAAATATCTCGAGATACACTGAACAAAATCGAAAAATTTTATTACCATTCAATTCGTCTTACTGAGACGAATCAAATAATATAAATTTTTTTTGGATTCTAATTGCTAAAACACAAGATATAAGTAAAAGTCGATATTTCTTATGACAATATTAAGTTTCTTTTAATTTTCCTCATTTGGGTAATGTCTAGAGGAAGGATGCAGTAATACAATACAAAACATATAGTGATACATAGTGCGCCATAATATCCCCAAATGTAAAAAACAACATTTTTTGAGTAGATTTTGAAAGCTCATATTTCAACCTTTTTTTTTTTTAAAGTCGATTTTTTTTTTATAATTAGTTAGTAAATCGATAGGTATTTTATTTCACTAAATTTTAAAAATAAATATTAATTTGTAAAAATTTAATTGGCAACGCAGCTTAGGTGCGCCAGAATACCCTACTTTACCTTAAGTATAATTTTTAATATTACTACTCAATTTTTTTTACAAATAAAAATTATTTATTTTAAAAACCGTATTTTTTTAAACACCACTTAGTAAGTTCTGATTAGTAATACTTCAATTAGTATTATTTAGGTTGCAAAAATAATGTTCAAGGGTTGACCCACTCCATGTTAGATCACGTAACCGTAACCGCTTGCGTTTTACTGTTTCAATATCATCAAGCATACTAAAAAAAACCTGTATTATCAACAACTCCTTTAACATGACGCAAATTATTAGCTGCAAATTATTTTCGGTTTTAGTATATTTATGTTTTAATATATCAGCCTGCGAATTTGAAGGTTGAAAAATGTTTATTTTATCAAAATATATTTGCCAATTTTCAACTTTCCATGTAAGAAAATAATAGCCTTCTTGTTGTTGGAAATTATTATACAAGTAATGGTTTTCGCAATAAGATTTTTTTAAACTTATCAAGTCAGGAAGACATAGTTTGCCCTGAACGCGGTCGGAAATAATATGTGTACAAAGCTCCCACACAAGATAATCTAATTAAACTTGTAAAAATAACAATATTTAATCGATCTTCAATGTGCCTCAATGATCATATTTGTTTTACTAATTGGGTCCAAAGTAATCTTGCACTATAAAGACCACATGTATTTCCAAAGCAAGGCTATTCTCAATACAAAAATTATAAATTTCGTAAACTGTATAATTTCGAATTTCGTTAGCAGTATCGATAAGAATTTTTAAATCCATATTGAAATATTTTCTAAGATAAATAACCGTAGTTCGCATGTTTAGAAAGCATAATACGTAGTGTTCAAACTCAAATCTGGTTTGAAATTAGAATCAAAAAAATTAAATTTTGCTATTATTTCGTCCGGTTGATATTGGCTACAATAATTATGCTTTCGGCTTTTAAGTTACAGAGTCGAATATATGCATTTTTCTTGTTTTGCAAAATCTTTGTTAACATAAAAACATTGTGATTGCAATTCTTTATCGCGAAAAGATGAAAAAATTAATAAGCACTTTAGTTTGTAAACTTTTCTGCACTTCGTTATTGAATGCCTTTATAGTATTCAAAATAAGATATGTAACCGGAAATTCTGCACCCTCAACGTTTCCGATAATTCCATAAAGTTCATAAACTTTTCTGCACTTCGTTATTGAATGCCTTTATAGTATTCAAAATAAGATATATAACCGGAAATTCTGCACCCTCAATGTTGTCAATAATTTCATAAAGTTCGTAAACTTTTCACACTTCGTTATTGAATGCCTTTATCCCTTAAACCGTCTAGCGGACAAATTTGTCCGCTAAAATAATTTTTAAAAAGTTTTTTTAAAATTTCTCAAAAA